GTTTGGATCAAGGGTCTGGATGGGTATTTTAGGGGGGGACCCCATGTTTTCCCCCCCATTTTTGGGGTGGGGTTCCTTCTTAAAGTTCCTACCAGACCTTAAGGGCCTAGTATGACTTTGGGGGACAACGCCACACACTTTTTTTATTGTTAACTTGGAGTCCCTCCTAACATTCCTATCAGACCTAAAGGGTCTGGTATTGTTTGGAAGGGGGCCCCATGCTGTTTTTTTTTCTTTTTACATTTTTTAAATTATTTTCTTAACTTTTTTTTTTTAAATATTTTTTTACATTGATTTAAATAATTTGTAAAAATGTTTTTTAATTTATTAACATTTTTTCTATTCTGCTCGCTACCTTGGAGGCAGCGAGCAGAATAGCCGAGCCGAATGGCATTCAGCTATTCACTCACTGCCATTTGGCCCCTATGGGAATAGGGGTGAACGGCAGCTAGTGAACTGAAGGAGCTTCAACTCAGCCGATCAAGATGTTGGATCTGCTAAGTCGAATGGCTTCTGCACTTTGGGTCAGCCGATGTACGGCTGATTTTAGTCGTACTAAGCCAAAGTAAATAGCTGAACGTTGTTCTGCTCAGTTCACTTCGGCTCGGGCATTCACTCGGCTGCCTTCGGCAGCGTAGTGAATAACCCTCTTAGAGTTAACTATGAATATTGGCTTTAGAATAATTTTTCCCATTCCAACGTGCACAACGATTGTGCTTGATTAGATTTATCCCCAGCCACAGTGGCTGGGAAAGAGATCTCTGAAACTGGAAGTGTTGAAAGGTTAATGGCTTCCAATTTCATTCTTCACTGGGATGATCAGTGAACAGATGATCACTGATCGTCCACTGATCTCACCACTGAAACATTCCATTGGAAGTGATTGGGTGACTTTAGAAAGTGGACAGTCAACTTTACATGGTTAAAAAAAGTCCAGGTTGCTATTGCAACTGGGAGTCTGTATACAGGGTACTGCTGCTGCCACCCCATAAGAATTACGGTGACTGTGGTAAAAGGGTTATGTCTACACTATAAAGTTACATACAGTTGTTGTTTTTTTAATGGTAAGCAGTTAGTACTACTTTAAAGTGCAACTGAAGCCAAAACTTTTGTTTTAGTTTTGAATGGAGTGGAGGGAGATTAGAACATCTGTCAGGTTTTTATTGCTCTCTGTGTTCTTAGTAGGGAGATTCACCCTCTCTAGTTGTCCTGCTGACTGTTATCACTAAAAGTGATATTGAAAGAAAATCCCAAATTTTGGGTTGCCACTAGAACAGGAAAAGAAGGGAAATATTCCAATGGTGACATTTGTTCTGGTGATCCTGCTGAACCCAAGGGATTTCCCTCACTTTGTGGTTACCGGACAGTAGACATGTGCATTTGGATTCGGACGATCTTGTTGAATGATGAAATTCCATTGATTCACCAGTTCGTCCAAATCTGAAATAACAAATTAATATATGCCCGAATATATGAAAAACTATATTTGGGCATACAATAATTTGTTTTGTTTGGTCACCGCCATCTTGCTGGGTTCAAGATGGTGGTGCCCATACATGCATATGACGGCATAAGCCTAGCCTCCAAGACAGCAGCGCGCATGCGCAGAATGTGTCACTGGTCAATATTGCCGCTGCTGGGTTTTTTCTTATGTGCATTGCACTTTCGAATTCGGAGGTTTGTTGCCTTTTCATTCATTTTGTCCGAAACAATTTTTTATGCTGTTCACCTGTCTATCGGACAGGGTGTGAAGGGAAATCTCCGCAATGGAATACAGATGGTCAAAAAAGAGTCTGACAAGGGTTATTATTAGAGATGCACCAAAATGAATTTTTTAGACAGAAACCGAAACGGAAAAATATTGTCAGACTGAAACCAAAAAATAATTTTTTTCCCCAACCTTTTTAAAATGTTTTAAATATTTTTTTAGTATTTTAATCTAAGTAAACCCCTGATATTTCCACTATAAAATAGAAAGAGAGATTGAGGACACAGCAGCCACTGTTATGAATGAACAGGAAGCCTCTGTACTGTCCATTCATAATTTGAGGAGATAGTATCAGTTACTATGTCTACAATCACGAATGAACCGGAAGTGAAATAGAGCACTTTCTGTTCATTCATAACTGGGGACACAGTAAGTGTACTATGTCCTCAGTTATTTACAAACACTCAGCGATCAGTACTGAGCGCTGAGTGTTTGTAATCCATTCTTTATCCTCACTCACCTGTCACAGGAGGCCAAGTGAGGGGGTGCAGTAGAAGAGCTCGGCCTTCTGTAACAGCTGACAGCTGTGTCCTCCTTGCACTGCCCTGCTCGGCATCCTGACAGCTTCTCTTCTTCCCGCTGGGTGCCAGTCTTTGTTCAATCCGATCCCCGCTGCCTCTGCCGACACAGGTGGGGGAGATCAGCGGAGATTAGAGGGGACACAAACCAGCTTCCAGCGGGGAGGGAGAGAAGCTAGGGATGCACTGAATTTTTGGCCGCAAATTTCGGTGCATCCCAAGTTATAACCCTCCCTTACGCAATCTACAAAAAAAAAGAAAAGTATGTGCTTCTGTTCTACTGTAAGTTTTCTTCTGTTAAGAATAATTGGATTACCCCTGGCAGCAGTTGGTGCAAATAATCAGCAAAATGTTTGATTAAACAAGCGTTGCAAAGTTTTTAAAAAGAGGGAGTTATCTGTATGAAAGGTTTTGCTCTTATCTTACTTGAAATATGAAGATATTGCTCAGAACAGCTTTATAAAGAAGTAGAAACATATTTTTCTTAGCAAAAAAAGTGAAATAGATATTCGGACCTTGACAAATAGGCCCCTATAAAATAGATGTAGGCATTGCATCATGTGGAAAGTGCAATAATCAGATTTCACTCTGTTGACGTCTGATCCATACAAACTAATTTGGAGTGGATACTATACGTTACTCTGATTTGCACTCTGCATTTTTCCCTTTTCAACAGGTCAACGATAGATTAAATTATTTGATGTACCTGTCATGCTGCGGTATCTGCATTGCCCAGTCATTGGGTCATATTCCTGGTTATCATCAGCACACAGGCAGAGGAAGGAGCCTTCTACATTTTCACATCGGGCCTCACCACAGACTCCATTTAGCATTTCACATTCATTTACATCTGGAAAATGGAGAATTGTTATTAGGATACATTCCTTCTTACTGACAGGCCTTCATTCAATTGCTGTTTTTGTGCCAGCAAAATTGCTGGCACACGCAAACCCCCATGTGCACAATTAAATCCTATAGCTGGTAAGCTGAAATAAATACAAGAGTTTCCTGACTGTGGAGAAATGCTTATTGTGCACTGCTTGTGCTAAAGTATTGGTCCAGGAAAGTGTACAGTGTGTCAAGTTAAATTCTTAAACCTCCAGCAATCAGGTCTATTTCCTTTGCCCGGTCTCTATTCACATAGGAACATTAGACAGACAGCTAGAAAAACTACCGAAACACCTTCTGACCTGCCAAAATATTCATAATCAATTAATCTGCTTTTATGGTTCACACAATCATATTATTTGAATAGCTAGAATGTGCCACCACTATTTAGAATCTGTAGCTTTTTGTGTCACCTTCCCATCTCCAAATCTACTTGCTGAACTGTGAATAGACATCATCATGGTAGTAATGCCCTTCTTCCTCTCTCTTCTTCCTTTAAAGGGAACCTGCACTAAAAGAATCATGTAGAAACCATTGCTGACTTCCCTTCAAAATACTAAGGCACATGGGGATGGTCTCCGTTGAGGGTCTTATGATTTCTGCCGGCAAAGCTAAATGCTGCATGCACACAGTTTGTGCAAAGAGTCATGGACAGCATCTCCAATTGTCAGATTTGTACTCTGCAAAAATCAATGGCTGATGCCACCACTGTTCACATGTAACCACTCATCCAGGAAGTTACATGTGGAGAGAGCCTTTGACCGACCCTGGACGCGTTGAGTGCAGAGCTGGCGCTTCTGTTGAGCTTCTGGCTGCACACAAACTGGCCATTGCTATTCGTCCAGTTTGTATGCAGCCACAGCACAGAATGCAGCTGCGTCCAAAAGAGGCATTTCGTTTCCCGGGTATTAATCTAAAAATATCTGAATTTACCACAGTACAATGTGAGCTTTTTTTTATCTTTTGCCCCTAGAAATCTGTAGCTAATAAGCATAGCACAGCTAATGAGAACAGAAAATATATGATTAGTGAGGGTTTACCATATCTGGCCTGCTAATCTGCAGCTTGCACATTGCCAAACAATTAGGTAAAAGTAACAGCTCCATTTTTAAAAAACAAGATCATTAAAGCATATATCAAGACAAAATAATACAAATAAAACATATGCAGTATATCTCTGCCAGACACATGTTTTTCCCCATGTTTTCTCGCTTTAAGGACCCTGCAAGTACAGAAAAATACCTGATGAAATTCACTGAGCACTTAATTTCCTTTTTGGGGCTGACAACACAAAGTTTCTTTGTAGAATGAGTGGTGTCAGTCCTGACTAGTTTTAGTTTGCTAAACTACTCAACCACTCACACAGTTTTCATCCCCAAAGCATAGGCACTAATTTAATTTTAGTCCTGAAATAAGAATCAGGAGGGCTAAATAGACTGTTTATGATAACAGTTTTAGGTAGAGAGCACAGATCATAGGGCAGTTCTGAATTTCTGTCCAGATCAACCGGTCTTTTCACTCTTTTTGATATAACAAAATGCTTTCAATGGTGTGTTTAACAGACCAAATGGAACAAATAAATGAATTGCTAGGGTTTACATACACTTTAATTGTATTTCAGACACAGTAGGTCAATAATCTTACAGCTGAATCTTTGCACCTATGTAAGTTATCCAGATATAGGACCATAACTAGTTGCCCTCATTGAGCTTTCTGTAGGTGGCCCCTAAAGCTGCCTTCTGGTCACTTCCTAAAGCAGACTCAACCAGGGTGATGCCTTCTGGCTTCCACAGGGAGCATCAACATTTTTGCACAGCCTCATGTCTTTGCATCGTGCAGACAGGCTGGCTGCCTGCACCATGGAAACGAATGAAACTAATCCAGGGAGGGTGGGAAAAAGATGGAAGTTCACCTCCATCCTGGCCTGCTCTGCATCCTACTCTCTGCTATGCTGCCACTTCTGTGGCCCCTGACCTGAAGGAGGCTCTGATGTAAAGGGTGTGAAAGGGGGGAAGCTTCTGATGTGAAGAGGTCTTCTGAAGTGAAGGGTGGCATGTGAGGTTAAGGGAGGACTCTGATGTGAAAGGAGGGGGCTTCTGAAGTGAAGGGGGGCTCCTAGTGTGTGGGGGGGAACCCCACTTTTTTGTGATTTTTGGATTGAGTTCCCCCTTAAAATTTATACCAGATCCCAATCTCAGATAAGGGTCTAATATAGATTTTGGAGAAGTCACACCACATTTATACATTTACCTTTTATACATTTTAGATAGGGGTGCTTCAAGATTTTGCATACTTTTAAAAGGTGCCATGACTAAAAAAAAGGTTGGGAAACACTGCTCTAGAGGAATACTTAAAGGAGAACTATGGGGTCAGTGTTTTTCCCCATAGTTCTCCTTAGGGTAACGGGAGGACACAAACTAGCGTCCTCCCATTACCCTAAGCTCAGTATACCGTGAGCTACAGCTCGCGGTATACTGAGACGCCACAGCCGGAGCGGATCCCGACCTCGACGTCGAGATCCGCCCAGCTGCGTGAGTGACAGCTAGCTCTGCCTATCTAGAGGCAGAGCCAGCTGTACCCGCCCCCTCCCCCGTCCGTTCCGCCAGTCAGCGATGGCAGATCGGAGCGGGGAGAGGGGAATCCAGCCCCTCCCCCTGTCACGGCAGAGAGCCGTGACAGGATCGAGAGGTGAGCGAACCCGGTATGTGTTCGCTCACCTCCCGATCTACTGAGCCGACCTGTGACAGTCTCATTGTCAAAGGTCAGCTAGAACTATGAGGTGAGTGGAAATCACTCATCTCATAGTTCTCCTTTAATCAGGCAGGTCAGAAAATCTGACTTCGATTATTGATTCAGACATGGAGATCCTTGGTGCAGGTGGTGAACTTACATATTTTGGCTACAATACAAACTAACACCACATGATTTTGTGTATTTGGTCTTTTGGGGAGAAAGTTAAAATTATGCATTCAAAATGCATACCAGCCCATCAGCTAAATAAATTGCACAGGTGGTACTAAGAGATTGATTTACAAGCATTGTGCATCCACAATTGAATTCCTATTTGTTCCTATTTCAGAACATCTGTTCAAATCACTCTCATTCCTTTTCTGATTAACTGCTACCAGCATATTGCTTTCCACCCTATCCCCTCCCCTTTCTACTAAAACTTATTAAACTCTCAGCTGAACCAAGTTTACAAATTACCATAATATTCTGCTGTAGTCTGCCAAAAACTTGCCTTGGAACAGGAGGTATATAACTTTACCATTTACCACCCTCATAGGTCTATGGAAGCTTTATACATTAGAAAATTGTTGTCCAATCTTATAACTGAAAAAGCTATATAATACCGCAAACCTCAGTAGACAGCCACAGACGACACTTTTTAGAGGCAAGAGCATTTGATTTATTGTTTCCTGAAAACTAAAGTGAAAAGAAGGGTATCTGCTGTGCACATAGGTATGGCCACTTGTACAACAAAACATATGCTTGTCTAGAGAAAGAAAGATAGTTGTCACTAAAACCCTTTTCTGATGTGTTTCATTTATATTTATTGTTCAACTCTATGTTAGTCACAAACATTAGATATTGATCAGTTGTTCCAAACGCCATATGTTACGCTGCATAAACAGCCCTAACCTGTATGCTTGGACCTCCAGACCATGCAGTTAATTGACCATTGAGAAGGTGGGTAAGGGCAGCTAGATTCCCCTTTATGCTGGCTTGAGCATGTGGAAAACAATAGCATCTAGATAAAAACAATTCAACCCAATTGATCCTCTGTTTCTCCAAGAATGATTGGTCAGTGTGTCTTTCACTATCCAGAGACATTAAGGTTTGACATCTAATCTGGCCAGCTAGATGGGATTATAATCATTTTGTGCCTTTAGTACATAAGTCAATACCAGTGTTATAAGATCAATATGCTTTGTAACCTGAAATGTATATCCCCTACACCCCCCTC